GCTGCAGGTGGTTCCACAGCGGCCAACGCTGAGGCCCAGAGTGGGCAACTCACTCAGCCCAGGTCACCCAGCGAAGCCCTCGGAGCAGGCGGGCTGCTGGGTGGCATGAATGGGTCCCCGTGCCAGTGCCTCCCGCCTCTAGCTGTACCTATGCCCACACCAGCCGGTGCCCACCAGCCCTGGGGGTGGGGGGATCCCCCACTCCCACTTTTCTTGCAGAGCTCAGAGGTCACAGGAGCCCCCCCGCCCCTCGCCGTGACCCCCCTCTGAGGCGTGCAGGGTGGGTTGGAGGCCACGTGGTGGGCCAGACACGCTGGCCCCCGCCTTGGAACATGGGTAGTGCCAATCACCAGAAATTTGAAAAATCCTCCTCCTTATCTGGGAGCAGGTGACACTCCCTGCAGCAGGAATGTGAGCAGGCGGCTCCCCCGTCCCCCCACGCGGGAGAAGAAAAGGCCGGGAGAGGAGAGCGGAGAGCCCAGACCGCAGCCCACCCCGCAAAGCCGGTCCAGACCAGAAGGAGCAGGGGAGGCAGGGGGCTTAGCAGCAGACCCCAAGGCACAGCTCCCTGCTCCCACAGGGGGCGCTGGCACAGGGAGCAGCACAGCACAGATGGGCCTGCGGACCCCCCTCCACCAGCCCCTGAGCCCGGTCTCCTTCCTCGACATTCCCCGCCTCGGTTTCTGAGAAAGTCTGCCCGGCTCAGCTCGGGGGGAAGGAAGCCCAGAGCTTCAAGCTGGAGACAGCTCCGCGGGCCTTGAGCAGGCTCTTGACGTGCACAGGCCCTGGGGCCCCACCTGCCGCCCTGCAGGGGCCCCTGAGCACTGCGGGGGTGGCCCCAAACCACACAAACCTATATCTCAAACCCCATGTCTCAAGGCTCAGCCCCAACCTTGGTGAAGGCAGGCCCCACCGGCCAGTGTGTTGAGTGACTCCCTGATGGGACCATAGAATTCGGTTTCTGTTCGGTTTTTCAGGCCACACTGGGCAACGCTCAGGGCTGACCCCTGGCTCTGCACTCAGGGATCAACTCCTGGCAGAACCGGGTTGGGGATCGCCCCCGGGGGTGGGGTAGGGGGGCATGCAAGGCCAGCAAAGCACCTTCCCCACTGCATTACGGCCGCAGCCAAGATCCATTCGTTCCTAGGGGCCATGCTTGGCTGGTGGGGGGTGGGGGGTGGGGGGTGGGGAGGGCTTCCCGGGATGCGCTTCCCCCAACCCCACCCCTGCCCCAGCGGTGCTCTGTAGGGCTGAAGCTCGCACACTTGTTGGCGCTCCCACCTGGAGGTGACTGTCTGAAGGACCACCAAGGAGAGGCGGGAGAGATAAGACAGTAGGTAAGACACTTGCCTTGCACGCAGCTGACCCGGGTTCGATCCCCGGCATCCCACTGACTCCCACGAGCCCTGCCTGGAGCGACCCCTGAGTGCAGCTGGGTACAACCCCAAGAACAAAACCAAACAGAAAGTCCAGAAGAAGAAAGCCAAAGGAGTGTCCACTCTCGGGCTTGCTCCTTCCCCCGTGGGGTCCCGGAGGGCTCTCCCGTCCCCAAGGGCCCCCCCACCCCGGGACCCTCCCCCAGGAGGCCAGGTGTGGGGGTTGGTCAGGCGGCTCCAAACTTGACCGCACGCCAGCCAGCGCGGGAGCGGAAGGGGCCGGCGGGAGCCCCCGCGGACTGGGCAGGCGCGGCTGGACAATGTCCCGCAGGTGCCGGCCCAGCCCCACGTCATTGTCGGTGCCCAGCCAAGTGCAGAAAAGCAATTTACTGGTCACGCTGCCTGCTCCCCTCGGAAATTTTTAAGATTCTTCCGATTTGAGCGACCCGCCGTGTCCCAAGTCTTGTGGGGAAGGGTGGGTTTTTTTTGTGTTTTTTCCTTTTTTTAATTTATTAAATTCCCAGCTTCCCGCCACTTCCTGGGGTGGCCGGCGGCAGAGGGTGGAGCTCGCCACAGGGTCTGGCCGTGAATGTGCACAGGGAAATGTAGGATTGGGGGAGGGGGGTGCGGGGGGGGCCTGTAGGGTCTGGAGGCTGAAGAAGGGAAAGAGTCCAGAAACCGCTCTTAGAACTGGACGCGGCCCCCCGCAAACAGGGAGATGGGGGGAGCCAGGGGCACAGGTGGAACCATTCTCCAGAGGAGAGGAGGGACCCTCCTGGACCACATCTCTAGGACATTAGCCCCAGGGCCACCACTTTCCCAAATGATGACCCAAGGTACCCAGGGAGGCCAGATGGGGGTCTGGCTCCCCCAGAGTAAGACCAGATAGATGCCTTTGCCGTGCTGCAGGGTCAGCAGGAAGCCCTGCCCACACTCCCCCTCCCTAGCACCTCTCACAGCGCCCTAGAGATCTGGCCCACCGGACCTCCCGGTTCCCAGCCTGGACCCAGTGCCACAGGCAGCCGACTTCTCGGTCACACCCTCTAACTCTCTCGGTCACACCCCCCAACCCTCACCTGCCTCCACCCCACCTTTCTCCCCAGCAGGAATGGGGTATCAGGAAACCCCCTGGGGATCCTAGGATGTGCGCTGGGACAGCCAAGCCCCAGACACAAGCCTGCCTGGGGGTCTCCTTGTGCGTGGAGGTTTTCAGAACACCCCCGTCTCTGTGACTCCATCTGTCACTCCCGTCCAGGTGCAATGGTCCCCAGGTCCCAAAGCCAAGCCAGGCTGGGTGAGGGAAGGGAGGCCAGGGAAGGGGGAGGTGAGGGCCGGGAGAGGGAGGGGGGGGGCTCCCGACCTGCTCCCAGCTCTTGGGAGCTCTTCCCCGAGAGCCTGGCTCCAGCTCTGGCCTGGGGGGCCTAGGAGCCCTCCATCATCGGAACCCTGACCCCACAGTGCGCATGGCAGGACCTAGCGCCTCCTCTCCAGTCCCCAGACCCCCAAGCAGTAAGCACCTCTGGCACCCACAGCCCTGTGCCAATGTCAGTGCCCCCCTCGGCCCCCAGCTCTCTCCCAGGTCACACAGGCAGAGCCCCGGTGACCCAAGGGCCTGGCCTCTGCGCGGGGACTCAGCTGCAAGCCAGCAGGCCTGGCCTGGCACTGGCCTCTCAGACAGACCCCCACCCTCCCCCAGCCCCGCCCCGCCCCCACACAGGGTCACATCTGCTTTGGCAAACAGCCAGTCTGAAGTTCCCGACTCCAGCCCTATTGATTCACCGAGCCGCAGGGGGCCCTGGGCGGCCAACAGGAGGAAACATCCATCCCTGGTGCAGCCGGGCCATCCCGGGGAGCTCCCCCGGCTCCATGCCCATCCCCAGGGTGACGACCCTCTCCTGGACGGACGGCGCGGGAGCAGGGGCAGAAGACTCAGACACCCCCGAACACTGCAGAGGGCTGCTGGGGGTGTGTGAATGCACAGACATACAGATACGTACATGCACACACAGATACACAGACACACAGAGATACAAACACACACAGATATACAGACACACAGAGATACAGACACAAAGAGGTACAGACACACACAGATATACAGACAGACACACACAGACACACACAGATACAGACACACATATGCATAAACAATACACAGACACACAGAGATATAGACACACACAGAGATACAGACACACAGAGATACAGACACACAGAGGTACAGACACACACAGATACAGACACACATATGTAAACAGATACACGGACACACACAGACACACACAGATACAGACACAGAGATATACCGAAACACACACAAAGACAGACACACACACATACACATATGGACAGACACACAGATACACGGACACACACAAAGACACAGACACACAGATACACACACACAAAGACACATACACAGACATACACACATTCATACAGACAGACACAGAAAGATACACACACACACACACACACACACACACACAACACTCACTGCAGCCAAAACCCCAGGGCTTCTCTCTGGGCAGCCCACGGAACCGGGAGGCGACCCCCTAAGCATCCCTTGCAGGGGCAGCCAGTGAAGACACCTGCCCGGTGCTCAGGGAGGGCGTGGAAGGGGCGCTTGTGGCTCCTGGTCCAGCCCCCCCATCCCCATCTCCCGGGCAGGTCTAGGTGGGGGGCGCGGGGCAGCTGGCACTCCCCAGCCCTCCCCCCGCCCCGCTCCCATGCTGAGGCTGCCCAGGTCTGGTTCCAATCGGCGCTGAAGTCGCTCCCTCTTCCCCTCCTCTCCTTGCCTGCACCCCTCCCTTTCCCTTCATTTCCACGGCGTTCCAACTGTCTGCGTGCCAAGACCTTCCCGAGTCTGAGAGCTGCTGAAGTAACAGATCAGATTTTAGCAAGTGCTTTCCAGGCTGCGCGCCAAGCCCTCTTCTGATTCACGAGAGCGAGCGAGCGAGCGAGCGTGCGCGGGGAGCGAGGCGAGGTGAGGGCTCCATCACCTGGGGCCAGGGTGCTGGGACCCCCACCTTGGGGAGTTCGGGGCAGACCACCGCCCCTTGGCCCCCGGCGCCCCTCTGCCTCTGCTCCCGCTCCCCGGTCGGTCCTCTCCCGCGCGCTCCCTCCTTCCTCTCTTTCCTCCCTCTCTCCTTCTCCCTTTCTCTCAGTGCTGCAAACGCCTTCGAAACCACAAGAGTAATTTACAACTGAAGCTCTCGCTCCGCGGACTGAAAAAGCTGAAAAGCGCCTTTTTTGTTGTTGTTGTTGATGTTGTTGTTGGGAAGCAGCGCGCAGAAAGAAGGAAACGCTCCGGGTCCCAACTCCTCGGCGGCGGCGGCGGCGCTGGGCAGGGCGGACCGGGGCCCCGGGGCGCATCCACCGCGGCGGCCCCGAGCTCGGGGCGCCCCCGCGCGCGCCCGGCCGCAACGCCCCCGCGCCCCGCTGCCCGCGACCGGCCGGTCCCCCCGCGCGGCGGCGGTGCAGGGCGCGCGCGGAGCCGCCCTTCGGCGCCTGGGGAACAGGTGCACTGGGCTCGGCGCCCGGGAGGGGTGGGGCGCGGGGAGGGGGGCGCGGCACGGACCCCGAGCCGGGGGTGGGGGGGAGGTGCGCGCGGAGCCCACGTACCTGTACCTGGAAGCACAGCAGCAGGAAGTGTAAACACCTGCGGGGAGGAGAGACGGAGAGGGGCGGTCAGCGGCGCTTGGGGAAGGGGCGCGCGCGCGCGGGCGGACGGCCGGCCGGACGGCCGGACCGAGCGCCGGCCGGACGCGCGGACGGGCCGGGGCGCGCGGGCGCTTACAGGCAAGTGCAGGCGGAGGGCGCCGGATACATCGCTGGGCGGGGGGCAGGCGGCGGCTCCTAGCCCAGCCTGCACATGTCCGCTCCGCGCGGCCGGGACCGGGCGCCTCCGCCGCCGCCGCCGCCGCCGCCGCCGCTGCTGCCGCTGCTGCTGCTGCTGCTGCTCGCTGCTCGCCGGCTGCTGCTGCCGCCGCGGCCGCTGCGCGCTCTGCTGCTCCGGGGCGCTCCGCGGCGCGCCCTGCGGCATCCGCGCCCTCCGGGGCTGCGGGCCCCCGGCCGTGCGGGGCGGCGGGCTCCCCGGCTGTCCGTGCGCGCGTCGGCGCCGAGGCTCAGGCCCGGGGCGGCATGCGCGGCCGGGCGGCCGGGGCGCGCTCTGGGGTCAGCGCTCCGGGGCCGGGGCGCGCGGCTGCAGCACGCCCGCGTCACGGCCGCTCCGTCTGGGCGCCCGCCGGCTCATGTCTCCTCCTCCGCGTCGCTCCGGCCGTGCGCATCGCCGCCTCCCACCCCTGGCGGCGGCCGCCGGGGCGTTTTCTACGCGCGGGCGGCGAGGGGGCGGGGGGCCGGGGGCGGGCCCGGGCCCGAGCCGGCACAATGAGGATGCGGGGCCCGGGGGCTCCCCCCTCGGGGCGCGGCCGGACGGGCGCTCGGCTCGCCCGGGGGCGCCGCGCCCACATCAAAGGCGGCGCGGACCCCGGCCCGGCCGCGCGGCCGGCGAGCGTGGGCGCCGTCGGTCGGTCGGTCGGTCGGTCGGTCGGTCGGCCGGAGCTCCGCGCCCGGGCGCACGGCCGGCGCCTCGGAGCGGCGGCGGCGGGCACGCTCGGCCCCGCGCTCGCTCGCTCCCTCGCTCGCTCGGCGGCGCCCGCCGGGGGTGCCGCGGAGGGGGCGGGCCCGGCCCGGCCCCCGGGGCGGCCCCGCGGCGCGGGGGGTCGCGCCCACCCGCCCCGGGGGTCCGCGCGGGGCCGGCGTGCCGCCGTGCCCCGGCCGGGGCGGGCCGCGGGGGCTCCCCGGGCCGGCTCCTCCGCGCGCCCCGCGCCCCACTTGGCCGCCCCGGGGTCGGCTCCCCGCGCGCCGCGGGCCCCCGGCGAGCCACGGCGCCCTGCGAAACGCGCGGCTGCCACCCAGCGGCCCCGGGCCGCGTCGCAGCCCCGCTCGGCGGCCGCGCCAGGCCCCTTCCTTCCGGCCTCCTGGCACAGGTCCGCAGCTGGGCGGCCCTGCCCAGGACCCACTTCTCACCCCGCGCGGGCCCCTTGCCCCCTCCCGTGGCACCGCTCCTCTCCTTCCCACCAACTGTCTCGCTGTCTCGGGCCCCCGACGGCCAGGCTCCGCCTTGGCCTGATGCTAAGGGAAACAGGTCAGAGTGGGAAAAGAAACCGGAGAACGAGCTCAAAAAAGCAGAACGCAGGAATCCAGACTATTTGGCTCGCGCTGCCCTGGTGTCTTTGGCTGTGGCTGATAATCCCATTTCTTCACCAGGGCATGAGCCGAGGTAGGTGCTGTCAAAACGGTGTGTCCTCGAGCCAAATGGGATGATAGGAAAAACGAGACGCCCAGCCCTGGTTCCAGACACCAGAAAACCTCCCTGCAAGCTATTTGCAGGGGGCTTTCAAAACAGAAGCTTCTTTTTCTTTTTCCCAGGTTTTTTTTTTATGTTTTGGTTTTTGGGGGGCCACACCCGACGATGTTCAGGGGTTACTCCTGGCTTCACTAGTCCCCGCAGTCACTCCTGGCGGTGCTCAGGGGTTGAATGTGATTTAATTAACACAGCTCACAGCTCCAGCACCGAGGTGGTGAACAGATGGCCTGTTTTGCCACTGGTACAAGCACGGAAAACCTTCCAGGATCGGGTGCTCAGCTCAGCGAGGGGGAAGCCTCTAGGGGAAGCACTAGACGACATTAAAATTGGCTTTTTTTTTTTCCACCGCTGGAACTGGTTTTGGAGAACGGCTGACACCAGCCCACATTCTGGTTCGAGAATGGATGTAAGTGGACAGGACTGCTCCCAACGGGGCTGTGCCACCGATCTTGATCAATCTTGAAGGCAGTTTCATCAAAGGGGTTCCATGCCCACAGGTGAAAGGAGATTGACTAGGTGCTGGGCTGGGTTAGCCAGGGGATGGGAGAGAGGGGAGAAAGGAAGCTGGCCAATGCCTGAGGACCTGACGCCAGCAGGGAGCCAGGGGAGTCCTTCTCAGGCAACCTCCTAACCCCATCACACTCATTCGAGCTTGTCTACGAAGTCTGGCTTTAGATTTTTCGGGGGAAGAGAAGAGGGCACAGAGCTCAGGGCTGACTCCTGACTCTACACTCGGGGACCACATGCAAGGGGCTGCATGCAAGGCCAGCACCTCACCCCTGTACCCCTCACCTCCCCCACAGGCCTTTAGCTTAAGCTGCCTCTGTTGCTGTTTTTAAGCATTTGCTTCCGACCCTGCGTTATCTACCCATTTGTCTGGAGGTTTACCCAAGGGCTTTGAGACTGAGGCTCCAAATCCAGTTTGTAAGTTCCGACCAGGTGTTTGCAGATGGGGGGCTCAAAGGGCTGGAGGTGCAGGCGGGACCTCTGGACTCCAGTCCCCTAAGAGGTGGCCGCACCTGTGTGCTATTCCTGGCTCCAGAGAGAAAAACACTTCCCCAGCCAGGCCTCCTGGGAGCAGGCCCTGGGACTGCTGGGTGAGGATGTCCTGTTAGCCAGGTGGGAGGTGGCCCTCCAGGATGGTTCTCTGCAGAGCCTTGGGGCAGCTGTCCTGCATTCTAGCTGACTCCTCCCAGCCCAGTGTGAAATGATGAACAAGACACCGTCCCACCTCTCCAGGCCCAGCCGGTAAAGTTCAGGATCATCTGGAGGGCAGATTGTCTTGGACGGGAGCATTCCCCAGCTCGGAAAGGGGGACTCACAGCTCCAGTAGAACCGAGACGTTTGAACAAAAGCACTTCAGACTCCCGAAGTGTTTTCCAAAACCAGCGCAGCTTCAAACAGAATCTCTGATGCCAAGTTCATGAGTCAGGGAACAACTGGATCTTTGGCACTGGGAAGCCTGGGCTTTCTGCAATGAAGTAAAACTTGGACCCCGTTCACCCCAGAACCCACACCCCCTTGACTGCTATTCAGTATTTGTGACCCCTTTTCTCTTGGACAACCAAACTATCCCTCATCCTCATCCTCAGATCTTCCCCCTCACTAACCATGTGGTTAGTTGTATCTTAGACCTTTGGGTCTTCAGCCACTGGCCCATGGATCTGTAGGTTCAGATTGAAAACCACTTGCTGTGCGTGCCAGAAACAGCAGGCCTGTACGCAGGTCAGGAACCAGCCCAAAGGTATCGAACAATCATCTAAACTGCGTGTCACCTGCAGGCTCCAGTTTGGACGGTGCCAGCGGCTATGACAAATGAATAATTGGAAGGTGTAGGTCGCAGCCTTCTCACAATGACACGATTAAAGCCATCAAATGGGAACTCTTGACAGTAGGTCATTTACTGCCCAACTGCGCTAGTAGGTCCCCCGCCCCCCACCCTTGCTTTTCCAGTCTTACCTGATCACCCACAAAGTCTAAGAAATAACAGCCTAATTCAGGGCCAGAGCTATAGCACAGCTGGTAGGGCGACTGCATTGAACGTGGATGACCCGGGTTGATTCCCAGCATCCTATATGGTCGTCCACCGAACACTGCCAGGAGTAATTCCTGTGTGCAGAACCAAGAGTGATCCCTGAGCATCGCTGGGTGTGACCCAAAAAGAAAAACAAAACCCAAAAAACCCAGCCCAATGTGAAAGAATGCCAGCATTCAGTGTTGACAACCTAGCGTGGCTCTTAGATCAATGCTGTCCCTAATACGTGCCCTTTTTGAGAAGGATCAATGATCCTTAGGAAAATGGGTCTGCAAGGACTAGAAACGTTCTGTCCAATTAAAAAGGTAGGGAAGCTGTCGAAGATCACTGCAGCTTGATGGCAGGGATGTCCGGAAGGAGTTTTGTGGATGAAAAAGAAAATGGACAAAACTGAAGTCAACTCACTAGTTCCTCCTTTTAGAGGTTACAAGGTGATCAACACTTCTGTGTGCTAGAATTTGAAAACAAAGACCCAAGAAAATGCCTACAGAGTAAATGGGGCTCCGGGCACAAGACTTAAGTGATTTATAATCACATTCAGAGAAAGGCGGACAGAAATGCAAGTTACTCTACCAGCTTGCAGCCAACAAAAGGCACTGAGAAACTCCAATACTGTTCCTTGTGGATGTACTATAAATTTCCCGCACTAAGAACAAGCCCAGTTTCTCTCACAGATCCTTCTAACACAGAAAAACTACTCGAGACAAAGGAAAAGCAATCATCTTTTATTATTGTTCTTTTAAAAATTCAAAAATGCTTTAGGATGGCAAGGGTCATGAACATACATTTGTGTTCTGCAATAGGTACTTCAATCATTCAAAACGGCAACCCCTTACATTCCCCTTATTTACAAATCCGGGAATAACTGTTCAGATCATCACCATACTTGGTTATTATCTATTAACTAGCACCATTAACTAGAAGGGCAGGACAGGACAGCAAGCGATATAGCACAATATCTGACACTGAGCGGAAAGTTATTGAATCCGATTAGCTGTCAGAGGTGAGTAGCAAGACCAAGTAACAAGGCCAATCCATTGCTTAACAGTGAAGTTTAATTAACCCCAATACTAAGAAGCATACCTCTGGGCCTGGGAGGGCCACCCGAGGTACGGATGGTTTGGGGCAAATGTGCAGACACCAATTTCTAGATGGCTAGTTTTGGTTACGGCACTGGCCTTGCTTGTAGCAAGCCCAGTTCTACTTTCAGCACCACAGCTAGCCCGCAGAGCACCCTCGAGTGATTCCCGAAAATAAAACCAAAGCCAATAGCAAAAGTGTGGCTCGAAAATCCAGAGAAGAAATTGCCTGAATTGAAATGTCCAAATTGAAGGAAGGGGACTTGAGCGATAGTATAAAGTAGGGAGGGCGCTGGCCTTGCCAACCCCAGCCCTACTGGGAGACTGGGCAATGACAGGTGTGGCCCCTGTGAGGTAAGGGACCTCAGAGAACAGTGTAGTTACTGGCCTTGCATGTGGCTGACACACAGCACCACCAGGAGCAAGCTCTGTGCACTGCCGAGTCTGGTTCCAAATCCAAACACACAGCACTTGGTTTGTGGGCATGCAAGCCTTGCATATATTTTAAATCAAGTTGATGTACTTACACTCTCCTATAGAACCTCCATTAAAATGCAGAACTACTCCAGGGAGACACGTCCTGAGAGGAAAAGTAGATAATCAGCAGCGTTAACACCAGCCCAGGAAAAGGTCTAGGGGGCTGGAGAGCATAGCCAGCACGGTGTGTGTGTGTGCCTTGCAGCAGCCCACTGGGACCCCTGGCATCCATGGTTCCCGAGCACCACCAGGAGTAACACCTGAGCATCGCCACGTGTGGCCCAAACAAAATATATCTAAATGACCACTTGTCTCTCCTATCACTAGGAAAATTACCCCCAGGGACAGCCAGTGCCCAAAGCTTCCTGGCGTGTCTTCTAGCTTGGTCAGCATGGAGTGAGCTGCTGATACACCGGATGACCTTTCAGTAGGCTAAGAAGCAAAGTGAGAAAAGCAATGGGACGGATGAGGAGCTACTTGTCAGGTCTGCCTCCACCCCCAAAAAACCAAGCACACAAAACTCAATACAATTCGCTCTCCTTCCTCAAGTTTAAAGGAGGACTGAGGAGGAATATCCTAGAGGATGTTCAGGATTATTCACGAGCCTGACCACTGCTTCCCCATTAACTCTCAGCAAAACTACTCACTTATTTGGGTACTGAGGATGCCCCAGCCAGGATCCTGACTCAACCAGCAGGCAGTTGGTAGGACATCTGGCATTAGGGCCTATAAGCATCCCTCCCACACATCCCAAGTGGATTGATACAGTCTATTATTTTGGGCAAATCAAGAAAATAATGACAAGTCAGTTTGTTCTGATTAAGAACTGGGTTGAGGACAGCTGCCAGGTTTTTTTGGCAGTGGAAAGAGGCTAGGCCAGGTGGAAAGGTCTGATCAGACTGGCGGAAAAAAGCGTCAGGAGATGTAAAGTCTAAACCTTCAGTGGCAAAAAAAAAAATGTCAGCTGGGGGCTAACCCCTTTGCAGGGGGCTAAGGCAAACAATTTATCACCGGAATTGAGAGCGTGCCACTCAGCTAGGGGCACTTCCTTTTCGGATGAAGCTTGGCGGGAAATAACAGAGAAGCAGTGCTACTTTATTAAAATACTGAGTTTATTTCACATGTATATTTTCGTCTCCCCACCATTCCCATCTGTCTGACCACCTCTACTACTATGTCCTATCATAACATTCCATACATACTTAAAACCAAGCGAGAGGGTGGAGTTCCATCTTTAAAAACTAAACAGGCATTTTGGACAACACATTCTTGGCAATGGAACCGGGACAACATTTATCAGACACGGCAGGGAAAGTTCTCACTCTGCATTATAAAAAGGACAGCCAGATATCAACTGTTACAGAAATGAAATAAGACGGAAAATTTTTTAACAAACTGTTTAAACTATTTTCTTAAAGAGACTTCCTCCACTGCCAGAGATCTTGAATAGCCTGGAAAAAAAAAAAGCAATGTGGTTAGGGAACCACAACACTTCACAGACACCAATAAATTAAACCCTGTCTCTCCATACAGCCCAACAGATCTATTTTTCATCCTACCGCCAGAAAGGTCCGTGCTACATAATTAAGAACTTACTTCAAAGCAATTTATACTCAGAATAATTTAACTTCGAATATTTCGATTCAGACATAAAATCATGGGATTCTTTGTAAGCAAAGCCAATTGTACCAATTCACTGAACAGCTCAGTTCAGGAAATCAAGAGGAAGGATTGAGACCAATTTGGCAAACCTTAATTCAGCTTTAGGACTGGAAGAAAAACAGCAGCTAAGCTGGTTTCTAAGCCTACAAATGCATGTGTACATGGAATACTGAAAAAAAAAAAAGCCAACAGAAAATTCCTTGATACAGTATAAATTCCTCAATTCCCCATTTTATAGAAATGGCTGACACAAACCAAGGTGTTTTTACATTTCCTACATCCTTCTGTGTGCTAAGAAAACATGCTCATGTCAGCAGACTACAAGTAAATACCAAGCTATCCTTAGCTACATTTATGCATGATCTTGGCTCTATATTCATATACTCAGATCATAAGAATATTCTGAGTTGCTCTTTAACGAAGCAGCTTTATCAAAGCCTTTTCCCATTCCCAAGCCCTGGGGCTCACGCTGGAGCGCAGGCCACCATCAAGCCTTTCTGAGCCTCCTCCTCCATCCCTAAGTGGCTCAGCCCGGACTAGCTGCAACATACCCAGCCCTGCTCTATGGCCGCATCTTCCACCTGCACCTTGTTTCTTAAACACTGCTGTGTTGTGGGTCGCAGGCATTGTGTCTCCTGCACTAGGCGCCCCAGTACGTGTTTACTGCCTCAGCTTCCTTCTCAGACTGCTGACTGTGCAGCTTCCAGCGCTTACAGTAAGGTCTGCAGAAGCACAGCACGCTCACTTCCTTTCAAATCAATGGAGAAAATGCTTTTTTACCAACTCTCACAAACTGAGGGCCAGACGGCCCCAGGTAGCCAAACGAAGCAGCAAGGAAAACCACAGCTCATTTCCTTAACCAAAAATCAAGGATGAAAAAAAAAAATCAAGCCAAATCCAGCAACCAAGCAATTTGCCCACTGTACAAAGCTTGGAAAAATATACTCAAAGTTATCTTCTCGCGGCTGCCAAATAAATTCGGAAGAATTTTCAAGCACTCCATTGAAAAGATTTAAGAATCCTAAGTTTGATCAAATCTCCAGAAATCATTACCTCCTGGTCGGTCATCCGGAAGCAATTCTTCACGTAATTGATGAACTTGGCTTCCACTTTGGGAAGAGAACCACCCTATGAAGACAAAAGCAGCGTTCAGGTACAGACAGGGGTCTCTCATTATCACATGCTAGATGGTCCACACCTCTCCTCCCAAGGCTTTCATTTCGGTGAGTCTGATTTAGGCCCAGAAAGACACCTCTACAGCACCCAGGTTTAATATACCCACATTAATGTTCTGCCCAAGCTCCCCCCATCTATTTTAAAAATACATGCGTGCTTCAGTAAGTGTTTGAAGTCTTATACACCTGGAAGCCCGGCACACATGGTTCCTGGGTACAGACCCAGGCACTGTGAACATGACCCAAAAGAGAATGAGTCCGCGACTGTGGTCACTCAGATGTCCGCTGGACTGCCTATTCTATTCAACCACTTTGCCCCCGGTATCAAATTTGAGACACCTTCCTCTTTTCAACACTTTAAAGGCTAGAGACCCAAATGGTCATTAACTAGACTCCAGTGTAATCTTGAGTCTAAAGGGTTTATGAAATCGACGAGGAAATCCCTTTACGCTTGTCCCATCTTTCATCAAAAGTAGGTACTGCCTTCAATAGGAAATTTGCAGGAAACAACAGAATGAACTCCCAATTATTTTCAAACTATTAGTACGATTTCACATTTTCTCTCTCAAGGAGAAAATGAACCTCACTCCAATTTTCACCCCATAATGACCATCATTCTTTGAGACTCAACTCTGGACCGAACAGCTATGGAGTACCAGGTGAGGCAAACATACCAATGGGAAAGCTGTGTGTCAAGTTTCACTGGATCCAAAAGCCCAGACAGTCCAAGAAAGAGGACCCAACTAGGAGTCAGCAGTTGCAGAGAGCAAGCTGCCCGAGTCCAGCTGTGCACAGATGAGACTCTCATGCCCCCTGCTGGCTGACAGCACCTCACACCAGGACAAGGTTTTCGTGTTATCTGTCCACTTCTGACAAAGCACAAGTAAGCCCATGTTTGAGTTAAGCTACTTGGAGCCATCTAACTAGGAAGAGACCCTCCCACTGGATTCACTTTAAGGAAACATGCGCATACTCACTTTTTCTATACTTGCTTGCATTTTTGCCTTAATGTCTTCTACAGAAGTGGGTCCTTTCGGTGTTTTAGGAGTTTTCTCATGTTTTTTGAAAGATTCTTGACCCTAGGGGGTAAAGTTAGGTTCAATTCCCTGTGTTTTTTTTTTGTCTCATCTTTAAAGGACCGCTGCTCACTGAATAAAGTGCAAGCTGTCCTTTAAAGCAGGCCCGGCTCATCCTTGCTCTGGCCTCCTTTCCAGTTCCACCAAGTTTCAAGCAGACAACCCAGGCTGCCAGCATCAGAGCTGGAGTTCCCCAACTGCTTCAATGGGGGGCTGGGGTTTTGCCACTTACTTTTGATCTTGGTGTTGATGGTTTTGAGTCTTTTCCATTCTGGTTTGACTTTTGTGCATTTTTGGTTGGAGTATCTCGTATAGACTGCAACAAGAAATTGATCTGAAATCAATGTCTACAGAACAGACATTGGTATAAATAAAAACTGCTTAAAGCAGGTAAGAAAATCACCAAGGTTGAAAGGGGCAACAATTCAGAAGACAAAAGGCCTCTGGAAGGGCTGACAGAAGACAACAGGGAGAGACCTTATCCCACCCCACTGCCTGCAGAGCTTACCCTGCAACCACTCAAGGCTGATTATTAAGTAAATCACAGCCCCAAAACAGAGTTCACAGACTACAAACTTCAGTGATAAGGCACTAAAACCTCTTACTGCTCGCTGTTTCTGGCAATCTGGCTCGCACTTACTTTCTTGACTGGAGCTTTTTCTTCTGCTTCCTCATCATCGAAGTCATCCTCATCATCACTAGGGAGAGAATAGAGGTTACTGACTCTATTATTATTATTAACCTCTATTATTAGAGGTTACTGCAATCCCACACCTGCAAAGAGCACAAGCCTCAAGGCCTAGCACTGAGACCTGTGAAAAATGTCACAATCTGGGGGTGAGCCGGCACGTTTGGGGAGATTCTATGCATCCAAGTTCCCGTGTGGCAGTATGGTAGGAGATGGAAGAAAACCCAATATCCAGCACTGGCTAAAGGAAGACCAAACTGTGACGCATAAAAAATGTTCAAGTGGGGCTATCGAACCTGGGCTGGATCCCTGGCATCCCATATGGTCCCAAGCACCACCAGGAGTAACTCCGAGTGCAAAGCCAGGAGTAACCCTTGAGCATCGCTGGGTGTAAACCAAAAAGAAAAAAAAACTGATTAAAAAAATAAAAAAAAGTTCAAGTCTTTTTTTTGGGGGGGAGGGGCAGAGCCAAGTTTTGGTCACATATCTGAGACAAACTGCTGTACTGAGTGATCCTGGGTCCCAAAGAAATCCTGCTGTGTGTGGATGAAGTCTGGAGACACTCGGTGAAATGGGATGGCTCCAAAGGTGGCCGCACAGTCCACAGGGCTCCAGGTACAGAATTTGCATACAGAAATATTGGGGGAGGGGCAGGCACACATGCCTCAGGGCTCACTCCACACAGTGCATTAGACATGTCACACCATGTCGCACCATCACAGTAACAAGATTAAGCAAGAACAGAAACATATTAAATTAAATGGGGGGAAAAAAAAACCTTGGGGTTGGAGCAATAGCACAGTGGGCAGGGCCTTTGCCTTGCACACAGCCAACACAGGTTTGATCCCCAGCATCCCATATGGTCTCCTGAGCACCGCCAGAAGTAATTCCTCAGTGCATGAGCCAGGAGGAACCCCTGAGTATCGCTGGGTGTGACCCAAAAAGCAAAAAAACAAAAAAACCCCACCTTATTACGTACTTCATTCAACTCTGTGTTAAAAGTATATTCTGCGAATTTGGCATCCAACGTGGTGAAATGCTTTACAGGAAAAAAATAGGTCCTCTTTAAAGATGAAAAAAAAAAATTCACCTGTGTTAAGAGGTAAATTATGTGTTCTAACATTTGTTTTCAAAAATGGAAACAATCTGGGGCTGGAGTGATAGCACAGCGGGGAGGGCGTTTGCCTTGCATGTGGCTAACCCAGGTTCGATTCCCAGCATCCCATATGGTTCCCCGGAGCACTGCCAGGAGTAATACCTGAGTGCACAAGCCAGGAATAACCCCTGTGCATCGCCGGGTGTGACCCAAAAAGAAAAAGAGAAAAAAAAAAAAAAAAAGAAACAATCCGGGGCTGGAGCAGTAGCACAGCGGGTAGGGCGTTTGCCTTGCACGCAGCCAACTTAGGTTCGATTCCCAGCATCCCATAAGGTCCCCTGAGCACCGTCAGGGGTAATTCCTGAGTGCAGAGCCAGGAGTAACCCCTGTGCATCGCCGGGTGTGACCCAAAAAGCAAAAAATAAATAAGTAAATAAATAAATAAAATAAAAACACAAAACGGGCTGGAGCGATAGCACAGAGGGTAGGGTGTTTGCCTTGCATGCAGCCGACCTGGGTTCGATTCCCAGCATCCCATAAGGTCCCCTGAGCACCGTCAGGGGTAATTCCTGAGTGCAGAGCCAGGAATAACCCCTGTGCATCGCCGGGTGTGACCCAAAAAGAAAAAGCAAAAAAAAAAAAAAAAAAAAATCCGGGGCTGGAGCAGTAGCACAGCGGGTAGGGCGTTTGCCTTGCACGCAGCCAACCTAGGTTCGATTCCCAGCATCCCATATGGTCCCCTGAACACCGCCAGGAGTAATTCCTGAGTGCATGGAATCAGGAGTAACTCCTGTGCATCTCTGGATGTGACCCAAAAAGCAAAAAAAAAAAAGAAAAGAAAAAGAAAAAGCAACAATCTTCTGAAGTGGTAATAGTACATAAGAACATTTCTACCGTATTTATAGGTAACATCTAAAGAAGTTAGTGGCTGACCAGATGGGAGGGTGGGGGGTGTTGTTACTGTTCTATTTTTTCTGACAGCATAGGAACCAACAGCCATTGTTCCAGTATGACAGGGAGGGTGAGACTTGGATACTACCAAGACTGAGGCGCAGTTCAGGTGATTTCCTAAGGGTCTTTGGGTTAATTCTGGCCGAAGAATTTCATCTCTTCTTCCACTCCCATTAAGAATAAAATACCAAATTTTTTATAAGCAACTGACTAGGATATCCCCCCCCCACTGAAATGATGCATTTGTTTTGGACCCACACCCAGTAGTGCCCAGGTGACCAGCTGGGACACTGAGGACTGAACCCAGTCCAAGGTCAAGGCCAACACCCTACCTGCTGCACTGGCTAAAATGTCCTTCGGGGCCACTGCAGGCCCTGAGCAACTAGATCCGCCTAGTGCGTTCCCTGGCCTCCAGCCTCCACACCATTTCAACTTAAGTCATCTTTTCCCAAGGTTGCTGCAAGACCAAAATGCCACCAAATCTTCACCCTGAGGCATGAACTCTTCCTGCTTATTATGCAAGAAATTTTTCCGCTTTCTGAAAACTTGTTTGGTAACATCTATTCTTTGCTACCTAAACAAAGACAACTCCAGAGACACGAAGGTGGAAACAGCCAAGGTTACCAGCGTGCTGCACTGTTTCCACAGCAGACACCCCACAAATACCAGTGCGGTCCTTCTCCAAGAACACAACATCTTAGTGAATAAGCTGGACATTCACTAACCCTGAACACCACGAACTCAAGAGGCCTCGTACTGGTCTGAGTTCCAGATGCCACATCATGTACAAAGGACAACTTACAAGAAGTTATTTATGTCCTGTACATGTTCACCTGAGCGTGATCAAACTCATCCCATCAAATCTCATTTCCAACACGCCAATACACCTTTTAGGAATGAATGAAAACATCTGGGATTATTCAACTTACTCTCCTTGTCATGTAAAAATACACCCTGGCTCCAGACTTGCATTTTTAAGGAAATGTTGCATCAGGATTGTCTAAAAATGATGATGAAATATATGACCAAAAAGGCTCACAAGCCCGCCAATATCCTGTTTATTTTCCCCACACCAACAGCTGACCACTTCCAACAGACGACCACTTAGTTAATCCCATAGGATGACCTCGGCGAATGGTTTTCTTGAACTGCGCCATACAACTGCAAAGTGTCCAAAATCATACTCACTCCTCATCGTCGTCGTCATCATCGTCGTCATCGTCTTCATCCTCATCTGCAGCAAGCTTTACTTTTTTCTTTATTAAAAGAAAAAAAACCCACAAGTCAACAATCCCAGGAGCAAGCAGTGATCCCAACCACCCAAAGACCAGAATTAAAGGACCAGACTTCTCCGAAAGAGCTGAATGCATGCCTGGTGTTCAGATTCGAGCCCGGGCACCCCAACCCCCCCACGGAGGTCCCCGAACAAAGGCCACACCTACCTGTGGCACCTTGCTGCCGCCCCCAGGAGCAGAACGCTTCCCAGATATGCTCAAGAGCTTCACGTCGTCATCCTCTTCATCTTCTGACTCTGCATCTTCCTCCACGGCTGAAAACAGATCCTTATCAGTCACTCAAATAAGGAACTCGGCGAGAAGCCTTCCCAGGGTGCCCCCATCCCCGGCCCCAAGCTTGGGCAAGGCAGCGAGGCTCCCCCAGAGCAGTCACGTACCAACCAAGTGCTGCCCGGAGATGTGCACAGGCCCGGAACCGCACTTCAACCGCAGAACCACCGGCGGGGTGATCTCAAAGCCCCCGAGGGAAACCTGGAGCAGATTGCAAAATCACTGAATTTTGTGGCCAGAATGGGGAAACGCGTGCCATAAATCCTATTGACCACGTGTGCATTCCAGGTGTGATGGGCAAACACAAGATACAGCCCAAGAACCTCTGATACCATGCTCCAATATCACTCTTCTCACCCAGCCCCACAGCCAGATACAGCAGTGTCCAAACACCCTATCCTATCCCCTTGGAGAACTTACATGGGATGGGATCAAACCAGAGGTTCCCAAACGAATGTGGGTCACGCCCCCTTAGAACAAGTGCCCCCTAATCTCTTAAGGGAAGCAACAGTTAAGTGTCCCCCCCATATGCACTCAAAGCTCCTCACTCCCCGTCCCATATTCCCAGCCCTCTTGGGAAACGACTGGATTTAACCGACATGGAATCTTAAGGTGGGCGCTGCTCACCGTTGGCTGCACCGACATTTTCAAAGTTGCCAGTGTCACTTTAATGGGACTGCCTTCGTAATTCATGGCTTCCGCTTCGACAATGTGCAGCTCATCCTTGGCACCAGCCCCCAAACTGACCTGCAAACAGAAAGAACAGCACTTCAGGCTCTGGGCTCAGAACCGGTGAAGCAGTCCACGACCTTCCACTGCTCTCACCAATGGCATTTGTGCCAGTGTTTTCACGCTTAACAGGACCTCAGCAGATGCTCTTACTTGGAGTATTTGCCATCACTTGTTTGGGGGCCATACCCAGCTGTGCTCAGAGGACCCCATGGGATGCCAGGGATTGAAGTGAACTCAGTCACGTGCAAGAGAAGCACCAAACTCCTGTATCCTGATCATCTTGCTGGTCCCTCGATTTATGCCACCTCAGAGAGAACACCTAGTATGTGTTAAGCTAAGATGGGCTTAGAACCCAGAGGGAAGGTCTCACTACACTCCAGGGGCTAACAAAAGTTTAACTGGACTTTACCTGGAAACAAAATTGAGAGGTAAAGATGCCACACGGACACAGGTCTACATGCAGCAACAAAATCACAATTGTAGAAAGGATGCAGATAGGGCGCACGAATAGGAACGAACTAAAGTTGAAATCAAGAGAGATCCAAGAGGCAATTTTGAAAGTGCCCCTACCGTTCTCAAAGACAGCTGGTGCTCATTTTCATCGTTATCCACTTTAAAATGATAATCTTTGTCTGCCTTTAGCTCACAACCTGTACGGGAGAAAAAGCAACCAGTAACTTAAGAGACTGCACTGTGGGAACAGGCTAGGAGAGTCGGTAAAAAATTGAAGGGGAAATATTGCACAGGGGGACGCTCCACCCCGACATACAATGTTAAAATTGAAGACTTGTTGCAGGCATCAGCTCTTCTCGCCTCCTGCAAGTAATGGAAATGCACCCGCGCCCCGCCCTCCAATTAATTATGTCAAGGCAAGGATGTGGCGAAGGGTTACAGGTGGCAGCAGGAGCTGTAGCAGCACAAGCCGTACCTGTTCCCCGGTTCCGCAAAACCCAAACCCGGCCAGGAGCAAAGCGGCCCCATCTAAAGGCCTCGATATTGCATAGAAAGAAAACCAACTCGGGGCCTAGAGGCGCCCGCTTACCACCACCCTGGAAACAAAAAGTCAACACCGGAGCAGGCAGGCCCACTAGCAGGGAAACCCTGCCTGCCCGCGGGGCCCGAGGCTTCCCTGCCCTAAAGGAGGAATCCAACAGCCCCAGGGCTTTATGGACTAACCAGCAGCCCCTCCCCCGTCTTTTTTTTATTTGCTTTTAAACAAAAGCTTTTGCAACCTACACCCGCCACCTCCCGGCTCCAAGGCCTCATTTATTCACTACCGGTAGCGGGTCTCACGTTTAAGACCGAGCACCCTCCCCCTTAAGGGCACTTTCTCCAAGAGGACCACCTCCGGCCAAGGGGTGGGGGCTGGGGGGACACGAAAATCCCAGGTACCGCAGCGGCACCGGGCGAGGGGGAGGGAAGCAATCCCCCACCACGGGGGAAAGCCCTGAACAAAGACCTCAGGAATCGCGGGCGCGACCACCTCCCACGGCGCCCCACCTCGACCTTCGGAGGCGGGGGGCCGGGGTACCCCCGGAGACCCGGATGCTGGAGCGCCCACACCCCCGCTCCTCCCCCCAACCACGTGGCAACCACGTGCTCCCAGCGGTTGCGGCCTCCACACACCCCGCCGCGCCGCCCCTCCCCCAGCAAGCGGACGAAGCCTCGGAGGGGCGCTCGGTCTCCACCCGGAGCCCGAAGACCCCCGGGGGCGCCCACGCACGGGGGGGGGGGCTGGTTATCCCGGCACCCGCAGCAGAGGGGGGCCCGGGCCGCACCCCACGAACCCGCCTCCTGCTCTGCAGCACCACCCAGCCTGGCCCCGGCATCCGAGGCTCGGAATGCAATTTGACCGGCACCCCCACCCAGGGGGGCGTGGGGAGTTTCAGAATCAGGCCGGCGAGCAGCGCGGGGGGCCTCCCGATCGCGTCCCCCGGGCGGACGCTCCGGACCCCTTCCGCAGGCCCGGGGTCTTGCAGCGCGCACGCCCCAGCATCGCCGGCCCTGCAGGGGCCCCGCCGGCCACTCCCCGGGGGGCTGCAGCCGCCCTGGCCGGCACCAACGACTCCCACCCTCCCTCCCACCCACCCACCCGCCCGCCCGGCCGGCCGGCCAGCACCGCCGCATCCCCGGCGGGCGGCAGGCCCCGCGCGGCCTGGCTCCGGCGCGCCCACCCCGGCCGGCCGTTACCGAAAAGGTAGTTCTGGGGCCTCAGGGGGCTCATGTCCATGTCCATCGAATCTTCCATGGGGCGGGGGCACGCACGGGCGCGGCGGAGGGGGCGAGCGGAGACACGCGGCCGCTGCGGCGGAGGAGCGGCGCGCAGGACGGAATCGCACCAGGGAAAGGACGCGGGTTCCCTGCGCACCTATATAGCGGCGCGCAGATCTCGCGAGACTTCCCCCGAGGCCCCGGCTCCCGCGCGCGTGCTCGGGCGCCCCCTCCCCTCCGCGGCGGGCCCCCTCGCTCCCTCGCGCACGCGCCCTGGCGCCCGCCGCCCGGCTCCCTCGCCCCCGCCGCCGCCTCCAGGTACCGCGCGGGCGCCCTCCCGCCGGGCATGCGCACTCGGGAGCCCGGCCCCACCCCCGCCTCCCGCGGCCGCGCGGGTGCGCATGCGCGCCGGGCCCCGGGAGCGAGGCGCGCGCGCGCGCGCGCGCACACAGACACGCACCGGCGCGCGCGCGCGTGCGCGCGGCTCCCCCGCCGCCTCCTCTCGGCGCCGTCCACGTCGTCCCGCTGAGGCGCGCGGGGCTCGCGGCCGGCGTCGTCGGCGCAGCCCACCCTACAAAATGGCGGCCGCAGCCGGCGGACCGCTTGGAAGTCAGCCGGGCTGGCCGCCCCCCGACTCGCCGCGGCTGCGCCCACGCGCGTCCCGGGCCTCGCGGCTCCGAGCGCACCGTTGAAACCGCACACACACACACACACACACACACACACACACTCGCGCACACAGACACGCGCGCGCGCCCGGGCCCTTTGTCAGGGGCATGATGGAGCCGGCTCCTCCTCAGCGCCGTGGGGGCTCTCAGGCGGGCAGCCTGAGGCCGGGGCCGGACCCCACAGGACGTGACGGGACCGGACGGTCGCTCTCCGGGGCGCGCATCCCTCGGAGGTGCCCTGCAGGCCACGGGGCTAGACCCTCACAGGATGTGAAGGGATGGTCGTCGCTCCGGGGTGTGCATCCCTGGAAAGCGCCTTGCAGGACACTGTGACTGGACCGCCACAGGATGTGAAGAGACAGTTGTTGCTCCAGGGCAGGCATCCCCGGAAGGTGCCCTGCAGACCATGGGGCTAGACCCTCACAGGGTGTGAAGGGACGGTCGTCGCTCCGGGGTGTGCATCCCTGGAAAGCGCCTTGCAGGACACTGTGACTGGACCTCCACAGGATGTGAAGAGACAGTTGTTGCTCCAGGGCAGGCATCCCCGGAAGGTGCCCTGCAGGCCACGGGGCTAGACCCTCACAGGATGTGAAGGGACGGTCGTCGCTCCGGGGCGCGCATCCCTGGAAAGCGCCTTGCAGGACACTGTGGCTGGACCTCCACAGGATGTGAAGAGACAGTCGCTGCTCCAGGGCAGGGGCATCCCTGGAAGGTGCCCTGCAGGCCACGGGGCTAGACCCTCACAGGATGTGAAGGGACGGTCGTCCCTCCGGGGTGTGCATCCCTGGAAAGCGCCTTGCAGGACACTGTGACTGGACCCCCACAGGATGTGAAGAGACAGTCGCTGCTCCAGGGCAGGCATCCCTGGAAGGTGCCCTGCAGGCCACGGGGCTAGACCCTCACACAATGTGAAGGGACCGTCGTCGCTCCGGGGCGCGCATCCCTGGAAAGCGCCTTGCAGGACACTGTGGCTGGACCTCCACAGGATGTGAAGAGACAAGTCGCTGCTCCAGGGCAGGGGCATCCCCGGACAGAGCCCCAGCGGCCAAGGGGGCATGGACCCCCTCCCCCCCATGGGATGTGAAGGGACTCCGGGGTGGGCATCCCTGGAAGGTGCCCTGCAGGCCACGGGGCTGGACCTCAGAGGACGTGAAGGGACAGTCACCGCTCAGGGGCGCACATTCCTGGAAAGCGTCTTGCAGGCCACTGGCTGGACCTCCACAGGATGTGAAGAGACAGTCGCCACTCCAGGGTGCGCATCCCTGGAAGGCTCCCTGGAGGCCATGGGGCTGGACCCTCACAGGATGTGAAGGGACAGTCGCTGCTCCAGGGTGGGCATCCCCAGAAAGAGCCCAGCGGCCAAGGGAGGACAGACCCCCACAGGACCTGAAAGGACAGTTGCCACTCCAGAGCAGGCATCTCTGGAAGATACCCTGGAGGCCACAGGGCTAGACCTCACAGGATGTGAAAGGACAGTCGCCACTCTGGGGCAGGCATCCCTGGAAAGTGCCCTGCAGGCCACAGGGGCTGGACCTCCACAGGACATGAAGGGACAGTCACTGTTCGGGGCAGGCACTCCTGGAAAGAGGCCAAGGGGGGATGGACCCCCACAGGACGTGAAGGGACAACTGAAGTTCAGGAGCGGACTTCCCTTGGAAAGCACCCTGGAGGCCACTGGAGCTGGACCTCCACAAGATGTGAAGGGACAGTCCTTGGTCCAGGGTGGGCATCCCTGGAAAAACCAAAGGTCAGGGTCAAGGATCCCCCAAAAGCCCTCCCATGCCTGCTGTGACACCTTCCCCTGCAATGCATTAGCCCATTTGGGCGTAACTCAGGGAGAGGCCCTGACCAAATCCCCCAAACTCACACCACACCCACCACAAAAAAAGAGAGAAAGAATTAGTACCCCTTCTGTGGGCTCTCCATGGAAGTGAAGTAGAAGAAGTTGGAATGACCCCTTGACAAACTACATCCCACAATCGCAGGACCCCTTTTGTAGAGCCCCTGGCTATGACATCAGCAGGTCAACTTCAAGGGGTGGATGAATGGGGCTCAGGTGTCCAGGTACAGGAGGCGCCCCAACACCTCAGTTCAACACCCGGACCTTCAAAGTTAGGAAGTACTCTAAGCAAAAAAAATAGGTGCAGCAAAGTCCAGAAGTTAATGAATGCTTGTAACCGTTTTTATTTTTAAATAAATTTAAAAAGTTTGGGTTTTTTGTTTGTTGGTTGGTTGGTTTTGGTTTTTGGTGTTTGAGCCACACCCAGCAATGCTCCTGGCTCTGCACTCAGGGATCATTCACTCCTGGTGGGACTCGGGAGACAATATGGGATGCAGATATCAAACCCAGATCTGTCCCATGTGAAACAAGCATCCTCCCCACTGTACTATCACACCAGCCCCTCCTAACCTTTTAAATGAAAATTATGGCCTGTGGAGCAAGTGCCTGGAACGCACAGGGCCAGGGTTAGATCCCTAGAAACTTCTGAGTACCAAAGGGTGTGATCCTCAGAATAAAATAAACAAGAAGGAAACTAGTATAACATTCGCCTAGAGGAAATGACAAAGTGAAAGTGTCCCTTTTCTGCAGCCTAGCCCAGTATTCCAGGGTTGATCACTATTACTGTTATGGCTGTGATTTTGCTCTCAGTACATTTCTGAAGTGGCAACAGTCACCTCCTGTTGTGTCAAAAGATACACAGTTACAGCACAGCAGGTAGGACTTTTGCCTTGCATGTGGCCAACTCAGGTTCGATTCCCATATGGTCCCAGGAGTAATTTCTGAGTGCATGAACCAGGAGTAACCCCTGTGTATCACCGGGTCTGACCCAAAAAGCAAAAAAACAGACAAAAAAAAAACAACCAGTTATGTCTGGTTTCCTCTCCTAGTGTGTGTTACAGTCCCCAGGTTTTCCCATGAAGTTTTCCATTCATTTAAGTTTTAATGATTGTTATCCCAGTTACCTACAATTCTAACAGAATTTTTTTGGTTTCCTTATCAGTTCAGAAAAATAGTTCATAAATAATTGTAATAATTCCTTTTGGTTTTTTTTTTAGTTTCTTTTTTTCAGAAGAATGGACAGAAAAAAAACTCTCATTAAGGGGGGTTTTCTTTGTTTTTTGTTTTGTTTTGGGCCACACCCAGCAAGTGACTCCTGGTTCTGCACTTGAATTACTCCTGACCATGCGCAGGGGACCATATAGGATGCCAAGGATCCAACCCAGATCAACTGTGTATCACTCTGGCCCATTTTTAGTATCTTTATATGCGTATGATTTTAATACAACAATTAGAGTTTTCATTCTTTTCTCATTTTTTCTGCTCACAAAGTTTGTTTGTTTGTTTGTTTTGCTTTTTGGGTCACACCCAGTGATGCCTAGGGGTTCCTTCTGGCTCTGCACTCAGGAGTTATTCCTGGCAGTGGTTGGGGGACTATGCGGGATGCAAGGGTTCGAACAGAGGTTGGCCACGTGCAAGGCAAGCAAACACCCTACTCGCTGTACTATTGCTCAGGCCCCTCATGAAGGTTGTTTTGATGGTAAAAGTCCTCTTCAAGTTGGCAGTGAGACCTTCATAAAATAACTTCTTGATACTTCTTATTTCTCAAGGTCATTCACTGTTAATTGCTGTGATTGTGTTCCTAGGCTGGGGCTGGAGCGATAGCACAGTGGTAGGGCGTTATCCTTGCGCACAGCCAACATGGCCGACCTGAGTTCGATTCTCCGCCCCTCTCGGAGAGCCTGGCAAGCTACCAAGAGTATCTCGCCCGCACGGCAGAGCCTGGCAAGCTACCTGTGATGTATTTGATATGCCAAACACAGTAACAACAAAGTCTCCAATGGAGATGTTACTGGGCCCGCTTGAGCAAATCGATGAACAATGGGAGGACAGTGACAGTAACAGTGTTCCTAGGCTGTGTTCCCTTTCTTGGCTGGATGGTTCTGAGGTTGCAACCATGCTAGCTTTCTTGTTTTGTCTGCTCTCATAGAATATTCTAGATGTCCCTTTTTCATTCTCTGTCCTTTGAGGGCTCTTGCTCCTCCATGGAAAGCAGCACTGGAGATCAGAGTCTGGTTGCAAAAGGTGCCCGTTGCTTATGAGTCGGTAGTTTTTCTGAGCTCTTCAATGGACAGAGCTTGGAAATTCTTTGCTGAAAGTTAAAGTATTGCCTTATTTGTGTCACATCTTTTGGTTTGGGTCCATACCTGGTGGTACTCAGATCTCACTCCTGTTTGTTCGGGGGTCACTCCTGGCAGCACTTGGGACCATATATGGTGCCGTGGATCAAACCCAGGTCAGCTATCTGTAAGGCCAGTGCTTTATCTCCTATACTATTTTTTTTTGACCCTTTTCTTTTTTTGGGGGGGGGAGTTGGGTTCCAAAGCATGGAACTGAGAGCTACTCCTGTGATAATTGGTCAGGTTTTCTGGCTGGACCTGGCCCCATTAGGAGCCTCAGTACTGGTGAGGGGAAGCGTGGCCTGTTAGAGATGGAATTCGGATCCAGGTCATGCCAGGTATGTGCTCCAGCACTTTA